CTCATATATATATATATATATATCCATACTTTTTTTTTTATACAAAAATCAAATTACTCAATACAGGAAGATAAGATCTTGAATTGAATACTTTGTTTTTTTTGACCATAAAATGTTTTTTTCCCACTTACATATTATGTAGCTGTTTTTTACTTCTCCAACCATTTATTTTAGGAATCTATTAGAACAAAATACATTAAGTATAAAAATACAATAGCCTTTTACTGATTATTTCATTTATTTTATTAAACTTATATTTATAATAGGTCAATAATATATATATATATATATACTTCTGTCAATTTTGGTAGGCTTCAAAAATTTTTTTCTCCCGAAAATTGTCATATTATTTTGGTAAGCATTCATAAAACGACCAACATATTTTTAGGCACTGTTCTTGTATTTTACTGCGATGTCATTTGCCAATCTGTCTATGAATCATGGACACAATTTTGTCCATCCATTACACACGGCTCCATTCTTGTAAAGAGTTATTAGTTATTTCATGTAATAATACTTTTCCATTCCTCCGTGTATGCGATCAAAATACCACACATATGTTATCAACAAGGATGAGCTTTACTATGACACTGAACCCGTATCTGTGTTTCTTGAATTTCAGAGAAGCATGATTTTTCCGAGTTTCGCCTTTATCTTTGGAGTGAAGCACTCTTTGATGTTATTTTTCCCGTTGAGTCATCTGATTCCACTGATAAATATTTCAAAAAATGTGGCATTAGCGAAGGGTTTCCTGAACTGAAGTTTTCTAAGGTTTCTTAACATTTTTTAAAATTTACGTCTTTCTACTGAACCACTTTTTGCATACCGCAACGGTAGAGATGGCAGGAGTCATCTGAAAGATGTAACAGCGTCAAGGCTTATAGAAGGTCAGCAATATATAAGAGGGATTTTGTGGTACACAAAATGGGATATTACTATCGCATAACAGACAATAAATCTTTTAATATAGGAGAGTATATGAAATGTGTATACCTAAATATTAAAAGTAGTTTTGTGGAAGACTTTATCCACATCATTTGATACTGATATGTGTTTTGGAGGCTAAACTGGCTATCATTATTTATATGTGTATCTTGTTATTTTAGAATAGCCTACGTGTCTGATGTATAATTAGTTTTGGATGTCCTAAGATCATTTTTTTGTATCTCAGATAGGGTATAAAGTAGCAGAACGAATCAAGAGCAAAAACACTGAGGTGAAATTGCAAGACGAATCACGCTTTACAGATCTCAATTAAATAACTTTCACTATCTTTCTTAGCCAATTTTTATATGGAAGATTGAAATCAAACATCACCACTGATTTTGTTGACAATAAACGTCATGCAATATTTTTTTTGAAGCTAAAGTCGCTTTTTATTAGCTTATCTTTTTGTTCTGATTATTATTTTAATATATTTCACTTATATTTCACGATAGTATAGTATGCACTTACGTTCAAAATCAACCATTTTATAACTACCATTTCATTTTAAACCAATTTTTTGAATATAGGGTTTATAGGTTTAGGTATTAGCGAATGGAAAAGTGTTGTGGAAAGAGTTATCTTAATGAAAGGAACCGATTTCCTTTATAGTCTTGGACATATTTATTTAGTGAATGTTGTAATATAGGTAACTATGTTTTTATGGAATAAACTAGAAAGCTCTTCATTATATATAATCTTTAGCTATAAACTTAAAATCAAGGTGAATATAATTTAGTTCGAGTATGATTAAACTAGATATGGCTTAAAAAATGTTTTGATTCCTTCAATAGACGAAAATTTTGGCCCTTTTTATTGGATTCGATATCTACAATTACTAAGTAGGCTAATAGGGAGTATAATTCACACATCTTGTAATCATGTCCTAATGAAGCGATGATGATGAAATTCTTATTTCCTTTTCCTTCATATTTTTCATGTTTTTATTCATGAAATGTATTTTATATTTTTTTCATTATTTTACCCATAAATATGTAAAGAAATATCGACGTGCAGTGTATACAAAGCAAAGCAAGTTCACATTAGCCTAATATAGGATATTTTAGTCACTATTTTGTTCAACAAGCTTAGTTGTGTCAATACACCTTCAAATTTGAAGAAATCTATATAGTGTTGCAACAGAAGGCTATCGAGCGGAGTTTAATGATGAAGCGGTGTGGTCTTGGTTTGCATAAGATCACTGCAGTGACTTTGCAGGGTTGGGGAAGTCCAAGCACAGGTGGAGGCGGTGGCTGGGGTGACGATACCTCGACTTCTAAAGGAGGTTGGGGTGCGCCTCGACACGCTTCAGGCGGAGGCGGTGGCTGGGGTGACGATGCCTCGACTTCTAAAGGAGGTTGGGGTGCGCCTCGACACGCTTCAGGCGGAGGCGGTGGCTGGGGTGACGATGCCTCGACTTCTTCCAGAGGTGGTTGGGATGGCACTAAGCAATGGGATGCTACTGACGCTGGCTGGAGAGGCGCTCCTACCGGCGCGAGGCAGTCCTCCGTCAGAGGCAACTTTCGTCGTGGACGTGGCCCTGGATGGGGTCGTGATGCAGCTGGCGGGGGACACGATACTGCAGGTTGGGGAAGACCACAAGGAGTTGATGAAGATGCATGGCAAGCTGCCCCACCTAGTTTTACACCACCTGTGCGTCGTGTTGATCCACTAACTCTTACTGCTGTGGAAGTGGAAATCGACGGCATCAAGAAACTAGTGGGTCAGCGTGTGCAGGTAACTGGTTTGGGGGATGGCACATCATGGCAGACCTTAAAAGATCATTTTCGTCAGGCGGGTGAGGTTACTTTCTGCAGACTTTTCTCGAACGGGCGTGCAATGGTGGAATTTAGTACACCTGATGATGCCGCGCGTGCAATCACGGAATTACAGGCTTCCGAGTTGGAAGGTGCTACATTATTTTTGCGGGAAGACCGTGAGGATGTTGTGCTCATGAACACACGCCGAAAAATACGCGATGCGCGTGATGCACAGCTAAGGGAACGGAAAGAGGAAGCAGAACGACTCAGGAGAGAACAGGCGATTGCAGAAGGAGACCGACCTTCTGAGTCTTTGGATAGTGAAAGCAATGTGTTAAAGGAAGCAAAGTCATAGCTATGCAGACAGTGGTTTTCATCTATTTACTTTTTTTCTCAGCACCTTTTCTCTTTCAAGCATTCTCACGTTCTTACAGGTGCATACTGATCGTAGAGTATATAGTGACCAAAATAACGTTACATGCAATTATTGAATTCTATTTTTTTATATATATGCCTGGAGAGGGAGGAGACAAAGTGATTGGTTTCTTTAATAATTCACTTTTAACCCTATTTTATTCAGTAGTGATGTCTGTTAAAAAATATTTGGTAATTCATGGTCAATATATATATTTCTTTATACCCAATGCGCATTGGTTATGATCACAAGAAGAATTAAAATTTCTGTATATATCAATATTTATATTCCGCTTACATCGATTCGATGTCGATTAGCAGAAGCTCAGATCTTATTAGATTTTCTTTGAATCAAACAAGGATCGAAAAGCTTGTGGTTTGTTTAGGATATTTGAAAGCGTCAGAGTCTGCGTGCCGCGGCGCACTTGCGTCTCGGGTTACAAGCCTGTTGCTTTACAACTGCCGACCTGCCCTCAACGATATTCACGATCCGGATCGCACCAGGTTACACGCTCGCGACGTTCGTGGAGCCTCACGACGGTGTTATGATGCGTACACTAATATCATTGGTATGAAGGGGAATAAACGCAAGAGAAGACGCTTCCAATCCATTGCCTTCCGTTTTCCACAGACGTGGGACTCAGAGCCAGTTCCAGACTTCATGGGTCTTTGGTGTGATCGTCTGTTGCTTGGGGATCATAGTCAGCCTCATCGTGTTGCAGTGCTAGAGCCGTGTGTACCTGTACAGTTTCAAGGAGAGGCTATTACGCGTGTAGCGCAAAGTCATCGCCACTTACGACAGGAAGATGTTCTAGTGGTTTCATCAACCCAGAGCCTGCCTTTTGGAATGGTGCGTGTTGTGGATGGTGTGGGTCTCAACGGTTTAGAAAGACACATACAAGACTGTAGGCTCGATAACAGCGAGTACAGTAATCCAGGATCAATAGGTGTTGAAGTTGCTTCACATGCAATCCAGCAGATCCCTGAATCATGCAGACCATGCTCTTCCTTATTGATTGGTGTTGGCCACGAAGTAGGTTTACGGGCCAGCTTTACCGCTGAAGAAGAGAAACGATTGAATAAGTGCCTCATCCCCCTAGCCACTTTTGGCTGCGCCCTGTGGTCAGTAAATAGACAAAAGTGCGTGGATTACATGCAACATTTGACCCCAACTCCCGATTTTTTAGATCAAGGTAAGGCAAATTATCGATTATGGCGTACAATGCAGGCGGCTATGCTTTCCACACGTGACACGGCCCTTCTGAATGGATATAGCAATAATACTCCACTCGACTCACGGTTAAGTATGAACCACCAAGAGTATTTGGTACAAAGACTCTTAGAAAAACTGGGTGAAGGACACCAAATATTTTAAATAGTTTGAATACTGAGACAGTACTTAGAAAAATACTCTGAGTTAGGAGAATTGAGTTCACCAATAAGCTTCTTAGAGATGACATTATCAGGGTTCGCTAACGAACCACTCGGGCTTCACTTTATTCCGTGTATTTGTGTGTGTATTTGTTCCTAAGCGTCGTTTGTAACACTTTTTATTTCAACTTTTTGAAGATAACAGCGTGAACTCTTTTTCTGATCAAATCATTATACCAATTCTTGAAAGTAGTGCTCTAGACTGGTTAATGTATTGTGAAGGGTGTCTATTCATATACAAAGAGGTCATAATAAGGTGTGAATAGATGAAATAATATGAATAAAAACTTTACAAAGGAATTCATTTTGACTGAAAGAACTCAGAATTTGTGGGCTGACTCTGCGCCAACAGCTGTCACTAAGGCGGTGCTTGCCCAGCCTTTGATCACTCCCTGGCGTCTCTTGCTTCAACAGTCCTGCCAGTATCGCCAGAGGCCTAAAACGGTAGCTCCAATGGTCTTGGCAGCGATGGTTCTCAGCGTTTGTGATGGGGACACTTGCTCCAATCAAGTTGATGGGATACCACCTCAAATGTCGGGACGCCGCTTCTTATGCGTGTCTATGGCCAGTGGCACGCGCTGCTCTGGAGTATCATCGAACGTGGAGGATTTGTCTGTGAGTCGTTTTCTAGTAAGTGACGGGCACGCTGAGGTACTTGCACGTCGTTCTCTTTTGTCATTCTTACTTGACGCTGTTCGTTCTATCAGAAGAGATGAATTCTGTTCTAACTGTACGGCTTCTCATCAGTTTGTAGTACGGGATTCCGAAAAGCGTGGGTGGCACCTGCGGTCCGATGTTCAGGTGCACTTGGTGGTGACACACTGGCCATGCGGCTCTATGGCACTCTCGGCCACATCACAAACAGGAGGACATCTCTTGCTACGCACCCCTTCTGCTAAGCTTTTCGGTGCTTGGGGGGAGGATTGTGACAAGGAAACGGAGTTTAGGGTGACATGTCCTGATGATAGTGTAACACGTTCTACAATATCCGTGTGCCATCATATTCTTGCGGCACACAAAAGCGTCTGGGAGATAGATCCTCGTTACACTCACTGCTGCCGTGTGAAGCCTGGAAAGGGGTATCCCAATATGAATATGAGTTGTAGCGACAAGCTGTGGCGATGGTCATTGTTTGGGCTTCAGGGACGCCGTTATATGCGTGTTTTGACACGGCCCATTCGTTTGAGTAGCATCGAAGTCGCTATTGAAATGAGAGCGAGTAAGGAAAACAGCGGCTTCTGTGAGTATGGAAGAGACCAGGCCAAGAATGCGCTGGATTCTTTGATATGGAAAACATCTACGTTAGAGGAGCAGGTGGGGGCAAGTATGTGTAGTGGCCGTCCTGTCCTATCGCTCCTGCCCTTACCCAACATTTCAGTCTTTCCAATCGATGAATTACACGTCCTGGGTGACGACATCACGCAAGGTACAACGGGTGGGAATGATTCGAGCTACTCCCGCTGTACGTGGATGACAAACCGTCGTTTCTGTGAGAAAGTGCGAAATACGTCTAAAATGCCATTGTCTCCCAGGGAAGTCAATTCACAGATCAATTCCTGTGATAGTGTCGATAACATTGTCTGTTCCTTGGGAACCAAGCGTGTACGTGTATCAGGTCCTGTGATTAATACTGACAACAACTTCAAGATTGGATCAACCCAGTCTCAATGCGCCATTGAGGCTACATGGAATGCAAGTCCGTCCCTGACACTTAATACCAAGGTTGGCCTTCCACAAGGTGTCAACATACAGCAGCTTAAACGTGCTTTAAAGAGGGCGAAAGATGACGTTTTTCTGAAATACCCCCTGTCTCGAGCCTGGATTGAGGCACAGATGGAAGCAGCTCAAGATGGGATCACTGAAGACGTGGAGGTTGCAGGATCTTGCTTATGTGAGTTGCTACCTTGTAAGGAGGATGCATTTCAAACACTTTTGTACATCACGACAAACAACTCTTTTTCACCTGAAAAGAAATTACTTTGGACTATGAAACACCATGACTTGACAAAAACTAACAAGCATGCATAAGATATTTACTCGTTTTTATATATAAGTGGTTTTTGGCACTACCAAAATGAATTCATAGTTGACGCAAAATTTGGTATCGGTATATGTTATAAAAAGTACCAATCGAAGTAACTGGAGGAAAACCCAGAAAATAGATCTTTAAAGCGCTTTTTTTTGTGCCGCTCTGATTTTTGAATAATTTGGTATTTTTCCGAAGATTCATTATAGGTTAACAACGATTATGTCTTTTAGTGTTATCTGCCATCTTTTTTTTTCTGTGTTGTGATTCGTAGAATGGACCTAATCATATTTCGAAGTTATCGAGCTGCATATATTTATACATACACACACAATCACGTACAATTTGTTTGTACAAGTATATATACCTTAGTGCAGCTTTCTCAATATGCTACATTTGCTAGCGTAGCTTACACGTGTGCATTACCCAACTTTATTGCAGAGAAATATCGGTGTAGGGCGTTTAACAACATTCTTTTTATCGATCATGGCACGGATGTTAAGACAAGCATGTAATCATATATATATCACAGATCAAAATGAATCAAGTCATATGGCGTGATGTTATGGATAAAGCACACTTCAGTCCTCCTTCCATTTTGAGCTTGCAAATCCAATGGATATTCAAAGAAACTTTTTATTTTTGTGTTGAGCTTGATTGCAGTGAAGGAGTGAATTATTTGTGTATGTAATGCAACAATCCCAAGTTAAATGATTCTAACATCAGCTTAGATACACCACACCTTAACAACATTAATATCAGCACCGATATTTTTATATGCTTACCTAGACAAAAGTTATAAACTTTATTCCCATATAAATTACCCTCTTTATGTGTTTAAGAACAAAATGATGCTTTAAAAATTCCAATTTCAATCTAATTTTAAACTTACTACTAATCATTACTTAGTTTAAGTTATAACATCACCAACATCTACAACCGGTATAAATAAATAAAGGTATGAATAATTCCTAATAGGGACTTTGTAAGTATATATCTACATATGAATTTATTCTACTTTGATACTATTTAATCAGCATCATGAACGTCCCTCTTTTTTTTTGTACATTATCACTACATATAGCTGAAACTAAAGGCATTTAACATCACCCCCCAAAAGATTAGCGGTAGTTGTGGTTCCAAAGGAATATATTATAGAAAACGTCATTTTTTGTTTTGCGAGACCAATGAAGATATTTAACCGTAGTTTAATGAGCGTCTTTAACGTTGCTATATTTGTTTTTGTTACCATTTGCTCAGTATACAGCTTCTTTACATATTTGTTTCCTTGCACTATGAGCACTCTTGCCCGAACAATTCTGTTTACCTTTTTCAATATTGGCACTGATGGGCCGGATCAATATAATTATTCCGATTTTAGAGGTAGAAAATTATCTGGGCTGATTGGTTCACCCGTGAATTCCACTTTCCATTGTTCGATTCAATCGCTAAACCCGATTAATTATGTTCTTTTCAGTATATCGATTTTTATTCTAACAATGACGACGTGGGCTTACATAATGGCTGTAATCACTCCTCCTGGTAGCATACCTTCGGTGTTCCAGCAGCGTACTAAAGAAAGTGTGGCTCTAGCCCTCGCGGCTTTTTATGAGCCCCTAGCATTTCAAAAGACGTTGCTGAATTATGCAGACGAAGCGAAAGCAACTGACCCCCATGATACTGTTAGCAAAGAAGTCACTCTTTACCCCTCTCTTCCTCAGCGCCATGCTATAGGCCACACAATGGTGCGTGTATCTCCAAACAGACCCAGCAACAGCGACAAAACCTCATCGAATTCGTGCCGTCCTTTCTCTGATCCAGACTCCCTCCACGAGGCGTTTTTTTTCAATCCACGCATCAATGCGTACACCAGTATGTGGAACTCCAATCTTAACCTTTGCCCTGTGTGTGCCCGTTACAAGCCGCCAAGGGCGCACCATTGTAGCCATTGCAATTGTTGCGTACTCAAGTATGACCACCACTGTCCATGGCTGGGTCAGTGTGTGGGATTTTTTAACTATAAAAATTACCTCCTCCTTTTGTTGTATTCATTGTTATCGACGGCATGGATTCTCATGCTGCTCACCACAGCCATCGTCCTCTACGTCCTAGATAAGTACCAGCCAAGCACACGTGCCAACACCTTGCCACCTGGTGAGTCGATGCTAGGTGGTGTGCATAGTGGTCAACTAAGCCAAACCTCATTAACACGCACGTCATCAAACGCTTCACCATGGTTTTCAATATCTATGTTAGACGAACTTATGGTAGGACCACCATCTTTTGGAGTGTTTTTCTGTTTTGCAGAAGCTTTGCTTTTTTTATTCATGACTAGCTACCTGCTGAAGCGACATCACACTTATGCACGGCATAACGTCACAACAATTGATTTGGTTATTCATCAGCGACATTTCTATAATGAATCTATCTTTTCCAAATCATCCGATTCAGAACTTGGTTCATTGGTAAATACAGAAGGCACAGGTGATTTCATGTCTGCAAGTGGTGACCAGGAGGACACTGACAAAAACGACCTTTCCTTGAAGCGTTTCATGCGGAAAAATGTATACGACTTAGGAGTACGGCGCAACCTTCTGCAAGTGTTCGGTGACGCCAAGCTACATATTGATCTAACTTCCACAACCACCAGGAAGGTTGCTCAAGAAAGCATTAACAATTTCTCTCAGCATAGCCATCATTACTTTGACCTTATAGAGAGTGACGAGCATCAGTATCCTCATTTCATAGTTCGCTGGTGGTGGCGATTGTTGCCTTTTCCATCTTTTCCACCACAGATGTCTTGGACTCCAATAAAAGAAGGGAAACACCTGAAGGATACTCCGTCGCCTCCGGCATATGGCTCCATGTCGAATACCCACGTGAATAATTCCCCAGAGAATGGCAAGGTCGAAGGAATAGTTTCGACCCACTCCAATAGTATTTTAGAAGAGTATGGGGCCACTGAACTGCATCTGTTAGGACTGCGGTTCCCAACTAGAGTTTCCCTTGGTTTGTAGCCTTTTGAATTTACACAAAAGCAGAATTATTCTTAGGTGCAGCACCTTTCTTTACGTCGTTTTTTCCCATAAATTCATTATTGACTGCATCTCTTTTTTTACTAATTTTTATGTCCGCATGCATTAGTGTTTATGCATCAAATTGTTATAACCTCTGACTTTATGCGGCGATAGGGATATTATTCCTTCTCAGAAAGAGTGCGGGGATCGTTACAGGCAACACAGTTCTGTGTTCTCCATGTCATATTTGTTATGCAAGAGAAATAACAACCTTTAGCTTGAAACCTGTCCCTATTCAGATTCCAACAGACTTTAAAAATTCATTTTTTAATGCATCAACACATTAGCATGTCCTTTATGATTATATTTTCTACTCGTTTGATCGCGTTATTTTTAATTATTTTATTTTTACAGATTTTATTTAGCTTTGCTTCATATTTGCATAGCTTTTTTTTCTCCTGTGCCTCATGTTGCGCATTTCGCGTGTTGAGTGTACCATCTTCAGGCGCGCGGTTTTCCTCCGCGGTCAATTTGATGATTTTTCGAAAATACTTTCACAGGGGAAAACTTCTTGTAGTTCAAATATGTTTGACGGTAATTTCAAGGGTGGCGATGGTCTCATAGATCCTAGTCAGTTGGCGGATATGCATTCCGTGCTGAGTGCGAATATGAGCCCTGAGATGCAGGATTCTATGAAATCATTTATGGATTCCATACGCACCGGGGATGGACTGCCTCAGGGATTTGGTGTCATGGCCTTTGGTCTAGATGAAAATGAAAAGGGTAAAAAGGTGGCTCGTGCGGCGCGGATGATGTATGATACGAAGAGCGGTAAAGTTGAGAAGGACTTTATTGAGCAGCAACTTGAGCCGGATGATATGAGCCTACCCAAAGATACCGTCGGAGACTACAGTACCGAAGGAGCTCTTGATACTGAGTTTGTGGAGGATCAGAATACGATTGAGACAAAACCGGTGGAACCAATTTCTGAGGCTGAGATTTCTATTGAAAGTGACAACGAATTCCCTGTGAAGCACTAACCATTTCCCATGACAATTTTAATACAAGGAATCTGATTACACTTTGTTTACTTGATCCACATCTTGTTTTCTTTCTGCGTTTTTGTAGCTCAACATCTTTATTTTTTTATCGCCGACGATTCTATTCTTCCTGCTTCGATATAGTACTCTAGGATATTCAGATTTCGAACACTACAAACTACGGAAAAGGGTTCGAAAAATTTTTTATTTGTATTTTTGATTTTTTGAGAAGCAACTCATCTAGCTAATATGTTTAGCCTTGTTTCTGTTATTATGTCTGTTGAATTCAATAGATATTTCTGCGAAACCTTTTTTCATGGCTTGATTGAATTTTGCTTTATGGAGATATATACTTATATGTATATGTGCGTGTTTACTTACAAAGAACACTAATACATTATTTCTTCACTTTTTGTTGTTGATAACTATAGATTTTTTTGAAATAGAATAGCACCAATTTTTTCATTAATGTGTTATGAGCAAAAAAAAAAATTTTCCACCGTTAGCGCATCAGCGGTTCGTAGGAGTCGTGCGCAAGAATCCAGGAAATCACAAGACGGGCCATTGATATCGATTACGGCGTCAGAGGTTCCACAACTACCGCAGGCTGCAACCTCCGTAACAGCACGCAGACAAACAAGCCATAGTTCTACCAAGAAAGGTCGTTCTTATTTTTCACTACAAAAACATCTGCCGACTTTGCTGATATCTTATACGCACTCATGCAACTCTATTTATGATTTGTATGTTGTTTCCAGTAAAACCAAACTATCGGATCAGATTCCGATCATTTTAAATGAGATTAAAGAAATTTGCCGCCGATACAAAACGCTGAGAAATCATAGTCCAAACCAATCCTTGGTCAGTGAGTGTGTGATTTCGAACCTAACGAAGTCGAATTCCAAGCAACCGCCAGGTAGTAGTCTGACTGCTCTTCAGAGCGGTGTCATAGAGCGGGTTTTGTTTCTTATTACAATTCTTTTTCCACCTTCATCCAACCATTTCGTATCAGAACAAGCACTTTTGGCTCAACCAAACTCAAGGTCGATGAAGGAATTCATCGTGACTCCAAAGGAGAGACGCAAGTTGTGGAGGGCGCTTATGTGCAATACCAACAATACCTTTCCTATGTTGTTATCTGCTGCGCGAACTGACCTGATGTGCGCACCTGATCCTCATCCAGCTGCTCTTTTACTTTCGCTTTTGTACAACCTATTCCAAGCGCTCCGCGGAAAGCCTATATTGAAAAAGGTGATTGAACTGTGCATTATGTTGGGTCTTTATAAGATTTGTACCAATATTTTAATGGTACACACAAGTACACAAGTCTTTTCTGTGAAGGGTGATGGTACAAGTGAAGTGCAGTTATACTATCGCTGCCGAGTGATTGAAGCAGTTGCATTGATTATGACCTTAACAAGTCATTTTCATCCAAAGGGCCATATTGTAATTCGTCTCACATGTATCCTGGAGCGTCTTCTATATTCCCTAGGTGTTCTGGTAGATCTACTGGACATCAGACTCAGAGATTTCCTTGATGCCCTAAGTAGTCTGGATGACCTTGACAAGTCCATCAATAAAGAGGAAGCCCGCGAAAGACTACTTCAGCTTATTAAAAGTGCTGTACGCTCAACTTCTTTTCTCTGTTCTGCGTGCACGCACTTATCTATGTCCATATTTTCAGCAGCCAAGTCATCAAACAACGCGAACGATCTGGGTGCAAGGTGTGTTGGTGTCTGTGCCAAACTGATAGCCTTACTATCTAGTACCCTGTATCTTGAAATTCCAAGCCACCTCTATCAGGTATTTACAACACAATCGAACACTCCTCTTTCGTTGTGTAAACTGCCTGAAGGCTTTATGGGAAATGAAGCTTCTCACCATGAAGTGCCATCGTGGGTGCTTCTATGGTCGCGCGGCCTGGAAGTGTCTATGTTCTGGGCAGTGGCCTTACTTCAACGAGTTTGTAAGCGGACCAAGGCCAAAATCACTTGTAGTATAGGAGCACATAAACACAACACACTCTTATCATTGTATACAGTTCTGTGGGTTATCACGCAGGAAATCGGAAAAGGTGTTGAAAATTGCGAAGCTTCTGGAAAGAATCAAACACCTACTGCTTTTTCACAATCTCAGCTGGAACACCAAATGTGTATAATACACACGACACTCATCACCATCGACACTCTCTTAAGGGCAAATCGGAAGTTGGGGCTGGAGGAGTTAAATGCAGTTGGAGGTGTCGCTTCACTTGTGAAGCTGGTGCTTCAGTTACCGCTAGTCGGTGTGGATCAGTGGTGCCACTGTTACATTCTCTGTTGCTCTTTTTACGGTCTTTCACTTCTTCCGTCATGTTCGGAGAATGAGTCTGCCTACACCGTAAATTCACGAGTCCCAACATTTACTCTACCTAATGATAACGAGACTTATCGATGCTTTACACCCGAAGCGAAGACACTATCAATATCGCAGTCAAATTTTGTGATGGAGGCTGCATCTAGCGAGGATGTTCCTATCCCAGAAAAAGGGTTTGATATATCAGATTTGATATCTCCGGTGGGGAAGTTACCGTTCACTGATACACTGGATCTTTTACCAGTAGATCAGTGTCCGTCATGGTTTTCCACAGAATTGAACAACGGGTTTATCCCTCCCAAGACTGAGATGCCACTTGAAAATTCTGTGGAACTTCCATGGCCGTTTACCGACCCACCACTACCGCCAACTACTTATTGTCCTCATCACCCAAACGATGAGCCAGTGGAACCACTTGAGGTCTTGAGCAATTCCCAGCGAATCGACATCATTATGCATCATATCAAACGTCTTCTCTATCTTAACAGGACTTCTGATGATGCAAACGAAGACTCTACACACCATCATCGTTATCGCGTCGTCTACGATCGCACGCGAGATGTTGAGAAGGGAGAAACAACAGCAATGGAAATTAATGAAAGTACTTTTAACGATAATGTTGTAAGTGATTCATTAAGTAATGCTAAAACGTTAAGAGACACCTCTTCGCTAACGTTTCGTAGCAACTTTCCCTCTGGCAACCTTCAACGAGCTATCTTCGTTAGCGAAGATGAGTATGATTTAATACTGAGCTGGGATACTGGCACAAATTCATTCACTCAATGGTTCTGCTTCTCTGTTTCTGATTATGAGCCTGGTAAAACATATCGTTTTAACATAATCAACATGGAAAAAAGTGGCTCATTGTTTAATGAAGGTCAGCGTGTGTTAATGTTACATGATACGTTCACTGAATCTTTTTCCTTTCCGTACCATAGAGTGCCGAACACATCGAAACCGAGTAGATGGCTGCGCGCAGGGGAGTTTATTTACTATTTTCCTAACCCCTACGGCAAACCGACAAGGCTATCACTTCGGAATAAGCTGCCGCTGACTTCATCGTGTAGCATTACACTCACTCGCCCCACAAATCAGCCAGCTGAAGCGAAACCAAAAAAACAAGTCCAGCGTTCACGTCACATTCCATTGTACATGCATCAAAGAAGAGATACCACACCAAAGACAGCCAGTAAAAAGTCTTCCTTAGCTTCCTCGCACGCAGTTCTTGGGAAGAAAGCTAGTCCATCATTATGTGCCGAAGGTGGCGCAAATGAAGGATTCTCTAAAACATACTTTACGCTATCTTTTACAATTACCATGCCGACAGAGGTGCCATACAAGGTTTACATCGCAAATTGTTTCCCTTACACATACTCAGAGGTTCTTGGACAACTGCGACGGCTCAGTTCAGCAGCCCATACCGACGACACGACTACGACTACTACTAATAATAATACAAGTGAACTGAGCAGTGGAGGGAGGCCCGCTCATTTTACTATCCAGCAGTTATGTCGCACACCTGGGGGGCTCCCGGTACCGTTCGTCACGGCGACGGCCCTCTATTCCCTGACCGAGCGGAGGCGTTATACACCTGAGGAGATCCGCTGGCGACCGGTGATTCTCCTCACAGCGCGTGTTCATCCAGGAGAGTCTAACTCAAGCTGGGTGATGCATGGCATCCTCGAGGCACTTTTGGCGCCAGTCAACGTTCATACGGCGCACAATTCTCGTGGAAATACTACTGATGCTGAAGGCCTCCACCAAGTGGTCAATGACTTGCTTCATCATTTTGTCTTTAAGATTATACCCATTCTCAATCCCGATGGTGTGGTCATGGGTAATCACCGCTGTTCTATATTTGGTGTTGATCTAAATCGTGATTTCTTGAATCCCGATGCAAAGTCAAACCCAGTGGTATACTCTCTTAAACAGCTGCTTCGCCATATGATTACAACCGAACAGCGCTCTGTTATTCTATACACTGATTTTCACGGTCATTCACGTGCAAAGAATTTTATGATATATGGCTGCACCGAGGAAGCCATATCTTCTTTAAAGAAAAAAAGAAAAGAAAAGAACGATTTCCGTAAAAGAAGATGGTATATTGCCTTCTTCCATTTCTACCACTACCGCCACAGCGGCTGCCGACCCTCAAGCTGGTGAGGTTTGTTTTAGCGACCCTAAGGACTTTGCGCGCAAAGAGGTATCCCCCGAAAAATTTTTTCCAATCCTTTTAAGCCACTGCAGTTCTTCATTTTCACTCCCTCAGTGCTTGTTCTCGGCTCAAAAATGTAAGAAGACGACGGGACGCTTAGTCATATATATGCAATTTGGTATTCGGATGAGCTACACCGTTGAGACTTCAATGATGGGTGGCCTAGGTGCGTTTCCTAGAGCTGAATGTTTGCCATTTTTATGCATACCATATGGTGATTATCGCAGCGATAATTTTGATGGTGCATCAACAGGGTCATTCAGGAACATGCAGACTCACTATTCCCAGGACTCATTTATCAATATGGGGAGGGACTTTCTTCTTGCTTTACATGTTCTTTGCATGCTGTATGTGCAAAATAATATCACTCATGCGGCATCTGTCCTTGGAGATGAAATTTCGACTGAGAACGCTTTGGTTGGATCTGGCTTGCCACATGAGATGCGCCAGTTAATTCTGAATGCTTTGGACCAGCTATACTCTTTCGGAAGTGGAAAGGAGCTGCCGAAGCAGAATCTATTGGTGGATCCGCCTGCATCTCTGACACCACTTTCATCCACAATAGCCGCTGGTTCTTATTCCTTGTCGACACGTGCGGAGCGTCGTAGTGCACACTCCACGGGAGGTCATCTTAGCAGTATATCCGCAAACAAACTGAGCCTAACGCTGGGCCCCGTGATTGAGGAACCGCAGCGTGTCTTCTCGGTCATATCCGCTCAGCTTCATGAAGTAATGAATTATCTGTTTGCTAGGTGTTACCATGTCGATGAGGAAGTGTACTCGGACTCATCGGATAAGCAAAGTGAAGATAATGACAATACAAGTCCTCCTTCTTTGGTGTTGAATTCCTCGTCGTGGCCCCCTCAACCACCGCATATCTCAAAGGGCATGGGTTATGGGGAGTCATCCGATAGCGTAGAGATCACCCTAAGTGATGGAAGCGTCTCTGTAGAGGCTGTTGAGCGCGATATCACCACCGTTTTTTTTGAGGATGATGACAAGGATGAAACCGATATGTTGATTTCAGAGGCATCGAGTATTGAAATGGAAGATACTGAAAAAGGGGACAAGAACAGAGAGAATCAGAATACTGACTATGAAGGAGATTTCGATGTTGGGTTGAAAAAACACTGTTACATTCCTACGAGCTTATTCACATGATAGAGGTGTTTCATTATATATATATATATATTTTTCCAGGCCCTGTTCGATTTTGTCTTCTTTTTATTCCATTTCTCATCTTTCCTCATTAAACCACATCAACCTAGCATCATTGATTGAGACTTATATCTCTTTAACGTGCGACATGTCCTCTTTTGAGGAGCCATTTTTCCTTTGCATTAATGCTTTGGGTAACATTATTAGATGAAGGAAAATAATCGTGATTGAATGAAACTACTTTTTTACTTTTTGGTCTTGAGACACCTTTTACAGACTACGGAGGGGGATATTAAATTGGTTACCTTCGTATTTTCTGCATAGATTACTAGAGCTATGCTTAATAGGATCTTCCTGTACTATGTGTATAGCCACCTTTTGTGTATGCTTGAGAGAGATGGACTTATATTCTTGAAATCTAAGGTGACGAAGCTGTGAATCTGTTTCTATGTTTACCATATTTAGACACTATTTTCAGACTTTTCCCTTTCCTTCCTTAGCTATTGCGCTGTCTTACTGATATGCGAACCTTCAAGAGAGCAAATAATTCCTACACGTTCTGCTTTGTACATGAAAGATTATTCACAAGGAATTCCTGAAATGGATACACTTCTTACGTATGAGAAGCTACCGAGAACGGAGCCAGACTCTTTGTTTAGTGCAAATTCTGTCAAGTTTGGTAAGATGTGGTTTGCCGCAGCAGGCATGGGTGCTATCGCCGCCGTTATTGCACACCATTTTATTCGAAATCCTAGACAGTATATCCCACAGGTCCTGTGGAAGCCGGGACATTCCTACCCAATTGACCTTGTGTGTGTTAACATGAGTGAAGAAGTGCAAGTCCTCTTTCAGGATGCCATTGCTCTGTGGCTGGACTTGGGTAGGGATGTTCAGCTTCGTTTCCTGACTATTACATTTTTTGAGGAAAACACCACGCCCGGCTTCGATACCCTCTTCGGCGCGACGCGATTTGCTACCATGTTTGCTCACAAAGAGTTGCTTCGCAAGACAACCGCGGATCAGAGACACGGTAAGAATAACCCGGGCAGGATTTCGGCACTGGGATGTGTATACTACCAGTCGACGATTCGTGTGAATGATGAAGTAGTAGAGCTTCAGGACTGTGATGCCGGTATCCTACAACGTCTGAATGGAAAACGATTTCAGGAGCGCCACGCGGCTGGATTCACCCTCGATGGCGAGGGCATCGTGGTTCGAACCTACGACGTGGAGGGCGTCCTGGACACCACGCGAGCGCTGAGGCGATGGGGGCCAATAGGGCTGAAGGACGTTTCTCTAGAGGATGCTCTGCGGTACAGCAGCGTACCGTCATATACCTCTTTTGATCCTACCACCCATTCATTAAAAACGGATTGCCATGGAATACTCTGCACACCTGTTGGCAGGCATACCCCTACCCACAACAGGATGGCGTCGGAACGCCTCTTTCATTTTTATTATGCATGCTCTAATGAAGCTAGTGAAGCTTTTGGAGGGAATGCGAATGACGCCAAGACAAGTCTTACAACGCTTTTGTGGCGTTCGCCCTTCTTCCTGTTCTCTGAATGCTCAATCCTCTTGCGCTACTCATGTCTTGAGTTAGATGGTTACGAAAGGCTCTTAAAACCGGTTATTCCACAGACAACCTTCCAGTCTTCAGTAGCGTCTCTAATGATTTCGTGTGGGCAAAAGCTTCTACCAAAGGTATGGCGTGAAAGTCAAGCAGAGCGTTCTATGGCACAGAACCTGTCTGTGTTGAAGTACTGTGGGGCTTTTAGTATAGTTTGGTTGTTTTCCGCATCCCCGTGTACACTACCACTGGAGGCGGTGGCGTCTCTACGTCGTAATGTAGTTTCCTTATTGGGTAAACTATCTGGATCGCGACTCTTGGGTGTAAATATGGACGAATTTTTTTTCTATGATGCTGGTAAAGGCGCTGTGTGTGATTTGAGTGCTTTCAATACTGGTTTTACAGTTTTGCATGCAGAACATGCTGTCCGTTTCTTGTCAACACAAATGGCATGTATGGGCATACCATTAGCTTCAGTGCGTCTTATAGTCGAGGTAGACGCATCGCATAATTTTGAACGTGACAGTAGTAATCCTATCGGACGTAGTGTCCTGTGGCCTCGTAGCAAATGCCATGACGGTAGAAACGGAGAACAGCACTCTAATCATTATTTTTATCACTCAAAACAATACTTCATATCATTGCCTGTGGGTGAGACCAAACACTGTCGAATGCTGAACTGTTTTGCCACGATGAATCCGACAAAGGGAAAGTTCGAGAACTCCTTTACTAGGAAAGCACCCTCATTAGATGCCGTTGATCTGATTTATGTTCTTTTAGAGCTCCACCTTTGAATTAGGCATACACTTCTACGTTGGTAATGGAGGTTAGGATTCAAGAATACACGGGATGATGGAATATCAAGCTAACATGCACTCAAATTAGTTAAGGTCAGCCAAAAGCTTGAATAATGAAAATTTGGAATCCTTCTTAAATTTTCATGCCCATGTTTTAGTTTCAATTCAGACAATATGGTGTAGCAAGACTCACTTTGCCTTTAAGAAATGTTCTTCCTTTTTTGTTGTTGTTTCCTTTACAAGATGAGTTGAAATTCATTGCTTAATTTATTACTAATTTTTTTTTTTGATTACTAAAGTTAAATAGTCTATGTGTATTTTCTTGTATTGTGAAGCGTTCTTCTTCACCTGCTTAATTTACCTTTCATCTTTCAGGTACACAGAGAACTGTGCTGAAGGTAATAGACAATAGAATGGGGTGGATGTTTTTCCGCTTTTTCCAAGGTATATGGAAATGCTTTCCATAAAAAAATATATAGAAAAAAACAGGTTCGTGTTCATTGTGAAAATTGTCTAAATAAGTAATTCACCTTTTGGGCCTTTCAAAGTTATTAATACGCTTTCCAATAATTATTTTTTTTCCGGAGGGAGAAAGGGTTTTTAATTTTATTTTCAAGGTGCATCCTGTTCAAGAAAGCACAATCCAGTAAATAGAGGTTAAGAGCCTTGCAGATGAGGTACTTCCAAACTGTATTTAGGTCAGCAATTTGTGATCCTAACTGGAATCTTTTGTTTAGTATTCAATATTTTGATTTTTCATCCAGTCAACCATATCAGCCCTACAAATTGATCGGGACGGACAAACACGTTACACATTTATTTCATCTTTATTCAATCTCTTCACCACTTGTAAAGCCTTAGGATTTTTATTGTGGTATGGATTTACAGCAGTCATCATCATTTCTTTTGTCCGTTCCCCTAAACCTTTCCGCCAACTTCTGGCATTATCTTTGTATAGCGTTTTTTTTACAGTATTGCCATTCTGCTGTTTTTTATTTCTTTAATTAGCTTTTATGAATCACTACGTGAAGTCAGATAAAGCGCAATCGCCTGAAGCATTCTATTTTTGCTATTAGGGGTATCACTTTATCAGAGCATGCCAATGCCTCAAGCATCCTAAATCGCAGAATCCAAAGTTATGTATAATACTCAGGGTTCTATCCATTATGTCTAACCAATGGGGTGTTGTCATCGGCCCAAATACCATTAAAAAAAACTCTATGCTTTGAGATAAAGTTTGCCTTTTATGATCACTTAAGGGGACTTATTGAGATAGGAATTGTGTCAATATGACGGAGGAGATTATTCATGAGTATTTATATCTAAAAGTGTCAGACAATACTACAGGTAAGTTTCTGTTATGATATTTATCAAACAAACCCGGACTTATGAACACACTGAATGATCGACCAAAAGATATAATTAATATTTTGTAAATCATTTTCAAAGTTTCTCAATATTATTTAAATACTTTAGATATCTTATGAAATGTCTAACGGAGTATTAGCAAAACTACTTTCATTAGGCTTCTTATTGTTAGGATTTCTGGGCGTTCCAGTTTAGCTCTACTTTCACAATATGCTAATATATATACCGTAGTACATTCATAGGTACCCCTTTTTTCACTACTTATAAAGTACCCATTTCCAAAAAAACATGAGAGTATAAGCTTGACACTAGGCTTTATTAAAAATTTCACACTGCTTGTATTAGGAATACACCCTTTGAAATGAGGCTATTTTTATATTGGTTCTTGGTTTATTTATTATTATTATTATTTTATTTCTTTCTAGAAGATAGTTTTAATTCAAAATGCGCATATTAAATAAAACCATTTCATATTGTTGGGTTAATTTCATCAAGTAATGTTTGAATTAATGTCTTTTGGCATTCGTGGAGGTAGACCATTATTATCTTGGTGTATCGGCAGTGCTGAGTATTTTACAACAAATCTGGGATCTAAATGTTCCATTGGACGAACTCCAATCTCTAAAAACAAATATATTATCCAATAATATAAGCAGTGCTTTTTTTGATGTACTTATTTGGTTACATATTGACTAGATAGATGTGAGCTTTCTTATCTTGTCTTCCTTTATTTGTTAAAGGAACATTGCATATTCTGTAATATTATTGTTACACTAGAAGAATTCATTTATTCTGTTGTCACTGGAAGCCCATGCGATGAGTCTTACCACCAAGCGTTCAAGTAAAGACTTGTTACATCCTGCTCGGGTTTTTCTACGCGTGCGTCACCATAGATCTCGCAAAGGAATTAGCGAGAATGCAATAGAAAATGACGGAGACGTACGACCGCGTGTGCGAGTGCGATGGGATGACAGCACCGGACCTTTTACTTTCATTTCTGAATCTGAACGTAGTACGAATTCTCAAAACCTCTCTTCGTCAACTGTTGTGTTTCAGCGTTTGTCTAAAAAAGTTACTTCATCGTGCGGGGAGGTGTGTACTGAGACGGTCTTAACGTCATCATTCCTGTCGAATAGTACACCTATTGAAATAGGTGGGACCACACTTTGTGTCAATTCCGTTAAACGAGCTCAACAGTATGTTTTGATTGATTCCATAGCCGAAGCTACCGAGACAGAATTATGTACTAGTGATAAAATAGAAGAAGATGTTTACGTGATGCTAGCGGGACCCGATGAGGCAGAGGAAGATGTGTCGTTTCCTATGAACTATGCACTTAATGACGAATTTGATTTTGACGAACTGACAGTTAGTGAAAAGACCCAGCCTGCACTGCATCCGATTAAGCAAGTTGGAAAACGTCTGCGTGATGCGAAGGATTCTATGCATACGTTTTTTTTAGTACCACCTCGTCGGGCACGACTCGATGAAGGAGAAGGCGATGCCAATACACCTTCTACATGGCCACTGATTTGTGAGGAGAGCGACAGCATTTTATTAGATTGCATACACGGTTATGAGGATTTAGTTTCATTTGTACTCGAGGGTAGCGGGGCAGCTCGAGAAGATCTTTACTGCTGTGCAGATCATCGAAAAGACGATGAGTACGACAGTAACGCGGAGGACTTCTCAGGGAACGATTATCCTGAAAGTGAATGTTTTGATAATTCGATGTCAGACATGGATTCCCACTCTACTACCCAGAAAGACAGCGAATTTGGTCAAGATTATCGACCTTCGAGACTCCGTACCAATTACGGCATTTTCTGCGAACCGGATTATATAGAAAATTGTTTGGGGGAAGGTTGGGAAAGTGACTACTAATTTGATTCAGCTTCAAGGAGATCTAATGTCTGGTATTTATTTGAGTATTTTAGATCTATATTTTTTTGCAGTGACTTAACCAAACTTTGAGTCAAAATGGCAAGAGGCATAATTCATTTACATTGATCTTCTGATCATTTATTCGATTTTCAATCTGAAATATGTGTAGCCTAAAGGACTGCATTTAGAACTCTAACCTTATTCATTCTTACCCTGGGAATATATATATAAAGATGATTTTATCAAAGACTTTTAGGCTCTAAAAAGTAACAATTCATTTTTCTGTGCTTTCATTTATGAATTGACTGTATTCCTTTTTGTCTTTTATTCAAGACAGGAAATACAGAATTAAAAGTCGTCTTTACATATCTGGAACAGCATCAATGTATAATATGGGCTTGTGGGATGTGCGTGATTTAGTAGCCGCTAACGATCTTATCAGTTTTCTTACCGTGATATCTACTGTTAAGCCTATTGACTGTAATCTGGGCTAGTAATATCTGTTTGGACAGATCAGGGAAAAAACATGAATGACAATCCATATGCTGTGGTTCTAAAAGAATTGGATATCTATACAAGCACTATATCAACCTTTCGGGATGCTTCGAACTGCACACCATTTCATACTGCCGCCGCCATGGGCTACACCTTAATTTTTAGAGGCCCTTTTGTTCTAGCGCACGTGCGAAGTGAACGTCTGTAATTCATTTGGCTTCACATCACTACATTTTGCTTTTCGCCTGGGTCACCTTGAGTGTTAAAAGTTTCTCTATGCACATGGTGCCAATGGACGTTTTCTTACAAGCCTCACCGAAGGAGATCTTTTTTTTTAGTAGTCTTCACGCGCAGTTTCTGCCTCATTGGAATGAACATCACATGCTTTAAAGGTTCTTTAAAGGTTACACTCACTGAACACCTACAGCATTGCCTAAGTCTCTGAGGCCATAACGGAGAGCATCAATACACCAGACAAGGGATACTTCAAATCTGTTATAGAGTCCCGGCAATAGGACTTGACCTCTATTTCGTGACTTTTTGAATATTTGTAAGATATCGGATTCTTCAGCGGACCAATCAGTGATTGTACAAATAATGCTAATGGCAGGGTAATTCTAACGTCTAAATGGATTTTAGACACAATTAGGAACATCATTCTTGCGGTGTTACATTTGTTACATATCTTCAAATATTATCAATGTATCTGAAGAATCCGTTTCGAATAATCTTATCAATATGAAGTACATTTTAACGGAGGCAGTGGCGCGAACAAAATATAACAGGCCTTAAAGGGTTATTGTCAAGAGAAAAAAGTATAGGTGACCAAGTGTACGTTACGAAGGGCAAATAAAAATTAGTTTGTGTGGACATCGAGCCTTTTGCCCTTTTAATATAATCAAAAAGGAAAAAGAACTCATCACCAGCACAGTAGAATGCTTCTTTATATATATATATATATATGTGTGTGTGTACTCACGCTTGTAATTGTGGGCCATGTGAATGTACAGAACTTTTATTAACCCCGATAAGAAAGCCACTGTTAATGAATTCCACATGTAAAAAATAACTCTTCCTTGAAATCTCAATCGATTTGATACATTCTTGTGACTTTTCACTCTTTTTTTTGATCTTCAAAC